TACTAAATATTTTACAATACCCTAACTTTATATGATTTACAGATAAGCTCTCTGATACTTTATATTTTACAATAAAATCCCTCACTTTTAAATTCATGCAAATGAAGGTATGACATACCGTTAATTGTTGCAAAGCAGGAGGGCACTCTGATAAATATTTGACAGCTAGAGTCATAAGAACTGGTACTGAGTCCTCTCCTGGGATCATCATATCAATCACATTATCTGCTATTAAATTATCTGTTAATTGCTCACTTGAATCATTCAGCAGCACATCCACCACATCTTTTGCAACTTTACAGATTCCACTCTTCCTTTTTGCTTTGATAATCCTCTGTATCAGTTTCACCATTTTCTTCTTTGCCTGAAAAAAAAAAAAAAAAAAACTTTTTGGTCAACCATGAAACAGTAAAAGGAAGTGATCTGTAATTAATATATCTGCATCTACTTGCCTGTAAAGATTGATGAAGTTTTGTCCCTGGGAGATTTATGGGTAAAGACATGAGGCCTGAGATGAATTCTTGAAAATGTTTCATCAGAAGCTGCATTTCTTCACCAAGATCCAAGCTAATCAACGCCTTCACTAGTACTTTAAAGGCGATCTGCAGGAGACAGAAAAGAGAAAGTACTTGTGGGGATCTTAAAAAATGAAAAGTAATGCGGCATCATGATTGAGAATCTCATTATAATTCATGGAAAAATGATTACGTTTTCATACAGACAACTGTAATTTTCACTTTCTAGCTAGCTACTTACTACATATCATCTTGAAACTCAAATAAGAGTTAGAGAGACAACTCAAACATGAAACACCAATGATTACTTTCACACAACAACTCATGCAAGAACATTATGACAGAAAGAGAATCAAAGATGATAATCAGAAAACAACTTCAAAAGAAAAATAAAGGCGAGAGGGGGAATCTTTTGATTTTTTTCTGTCTGTTGGAACTCTTCTCAAGAAGTCACCGTAAGCTTGGAGTGTAAAGGCTAAAGTTTCAAACCTTGAAGATAGACTCTAACCCCAACACCACGTGTTTTTTTTTTTGGGGTGGGGGGGGGGGGAGAGGACAGAAAGGCAGATATCAGATAGACATAAGACACACCACAGAGAGAGAGCGAAACAGAACAAACGTTTTTGGTTTCATCTTGTATGTATACGAGGCTGTCATCCCTCCATTTTGCCATTGATTGTTGGACATACTCATGCATATCTCTGGTGATCTGAGCTTTAAGGTGGTGAGACTTGAAGAAAGCCCCAATGAGCCCATGTATTCTCCTCTGTAGGCTTCCATTGATGAGCAAAATAGAAGACTCTCCCATCAAAACTGTGAGAGATTTTGGATATGAAGGAACAAAAAACTTCGCATCACTTTGCAAAATAAACTTGTTAACCTCTGCGTCGGTCGAAACTATAGCGGGGCTCCCAAATATGTGAGACTTAAACACTTTCCCATACCTGCACAACCAGAAAGATATGATCTTTATTGAAACTAATAGTCATACAATCAAGCTGAGAATTACTCTGAAATGATAATAAGCTTACATGCGGCGTCGTTTGTCCATGAAGCTCTCAGGGCGATCAGAGTAAGCACAAGAGACAAACTCGATAGTTTCCCCGATCAAAGGCCATCCAAGAGTGCCTGAAGGAAGCTGATTTCTGTACTTCGATCTGAGTTTAAACCTGTTATCGTAGAGCATGACAGTGAACCAGAGAAAAAATACTGTCATAAACAAAATCCAAATACAATCCATTATTGTCCTTTCCCTGCACACACGCTCGTTCTGTATCTCTATGGCACGACTAGATTTGGATTAAATACGCTTAATCATATGGTGGACGCACAAATCACACAGTTTTTTAATGGAAGAATGATTTTGCATGTGTGTGCAGGCGTGCAAGTGAGAAAACACGCGGGGAGAGAGAGAGATAGAAACAGAGATGTAGGGGTTTAGCTAACCTGTAGTGTAAGGCAGGATATTTATATCACAAATTAATAGAAAAGCATAATGAGAGAAGCAAATATGGATTATTGGCTTCACTACTTCTTTTATTCTCAAGCCAAAGAAGATAATTTCTTTTTACTGTTGAGGACTTAACAGGGTCAATATAGCATCTTTTTTATGTTTTTCCTCCTTAGAATCTGGTTGAGAATGTCAGTTTCAGAGTGATACCTTATTATCTGTCACAGCTTCCTAGATGGTCAAGCCATAGACCCATTGAATGACACCATATTTGACAATACTGTAGCTTTTATTAGATAAATAATACACCTCTGCTTTGGTTTTATATGTGGAACTTTTTTTTTTTTCTGAGGTAATATATGCATCGACTTATGGAAGTCAAACAGGAGACCTAGGAGGCTATACATAGTAAATGTGCCGTCAAAGGTTCCATAGGATACTATGAAGCGGGAGAATAAACCTCTGTTTTTGCCCATGGTTTTGGCCAAATAACTTTAGATGTAGTCAGTCGTAGGACAAATTCAGGTTTCACTCAGTAAAAGAATTAGTAAAATACTATGTAATGACAGCATTTTTCTTTTTTTTGGTGATAACTATGTATGAAGGTTTAGATTATAGGTCGAGATGTCAATAGTTCCATGGCCTATTGACATTAAGTCCTTTCTTACTCGTGGAAAGCCACGAGTTCGATTCTGTCAACTTTCAAACAGTTTCAGCTTGTTCCTTTATACTCTCAAAAGTTTATAGGCTGAGATTATTTTTATTTCAATGGAATTGTGGTTAGCTCCAAGTTTAATGGTCATATTCTCTTTTTGCACACTTAAATATAAAGTGAGTCTATTCTTATGCATATTTTATATACATCTGGAGAGAACAAAATTTTTTTAAAAAAATCAGAATAAGAAAACTATCCTTTTTTTATGTGCAAAGCAAAGTAGGTATGGAAGAGCCCTCAACGGGCAAGGTTGGGAGTTGGGAGTCCTCGTGCCTTCATGTGGGACTCAATAACTCTAACCACATTCTTCCACCATCATCATCTTGATCACTCTCTCTCTAAAATTTTGGAAAAATTACATGAAAGAGCCCATATTTTATAACAATTAGGTTAAGAAATTTTGAAAATCATAATTACTTTGGAAGATTATGACTATTATTTAATCTAAAATTCACATGAACTGAAATCAGTGTCTTCCAAAATTTATTTGAAGGTAATGTATTTGCTTAAAATAATTTTGCAATCGTGTTCTTTCATATCAATCAATCTCAATTTTACTTTTTCAAAAATCAAACTCTAATGCTTAAGTCTAAGTTGATGGAATGAGAAGTCATGATTTCCTTGACAACTGGATTAGGTCTCGAATCTTATTATAATTAGCTAATGCCCGCATGTGCGTCTCCTTTACAAATATTAATCTGTCATTATTTGAATGATCCTGAGTTAAAGCAAGCTAATTGAGTATTAGTATACTCTTTTAATTGGTCCAACCACAAATGAGAGAGCCAAATGTGCGGGAAAGCAGCCATATTCATTAAAAGAAAACCATCTCTTTTCCAAGGAGAGATTTCATTTAGGGGGTAACCCCATGCGACTATGATCAAGCTTTTACAGATCCCTCTTTGACTATTGTCCCTACTGTTCTGTTTTGTGTTTTAATTAAGATGTTGGTAATTCCACAATGGCCCATTTGTTGATTATCGGTATTTTCTATTACTAGAGGGAGTCACATCTTAAATTTTGAAATTTTTTCAGACTATTATATAAGTGTTATTTACTTCCAACTCTCTTAAAATTTATGAAAACATTGTAATATATTTCTTTTAGTTTTATTTGTAAGGCAAAGAGAGAAAAAAATATTTAGTCTTATTTATAAGTCATTTCGTTAATTTTTTATTATAATTTTTTTCTTTTTACTCTCAATTAAATTTTTAAGTAGAATTAATAAATTTTAAATTTTTCATAATTTTAATTAAACATGTTAAAAATAATTTATAAATAAGACTAAATGGGTATATACTTTTTAATATTGTCCCTCACAGTTAAACCCTGACTCCCCCCAATGATCTTAACTTTAATCCCTTAGTTTAAGTGTCTGAATTCAGTGTCCATACAATAATATCATCATGGCACTGGAGACTATTCGGCGCGCTCTAGTACTGTTTTTGAGAATTATGTTTATTAAAGTAACATGCGACATCTAAAGAGTACAGAAAAGAAAATGGATTTATTTGTAATTGCTCTGAAGTTTGAGAAACTTTGGGCCATAATCTGCTAGTTTTAATATTTTACGGAAATGACGCATCTGGTCGTTGGTTTGGTAATGGAAGTTTGCATGCTGGGGGAACCGTACCAGTTAGCACTGCACAGAACCATTGTCCACATCCATTTTGGAAATTGTGTACGTGTATGCTTGTACACTACTAAGCTCACGTGGATCTCTAGTTTCAGTGCTCAAACCTTGAGAATATGCACATCATGGGAAATTGGAAATAATCAATCATGTTAAAGAGAAAATATTCATTTATTCATCCTCATGTTGATTCCCGTGGCCAAGGATTATTTTCAGATTTCTTTTTTTTTTTTAATCCTGACTTCTCTAGGTAAATGTAAGACTAGACTACTCCAAACATGTTCCACCTTGCACACATACGCTCATGTGAAGAGACCAGGATCCCCTCCAAAGCCAGAATTAAGGTAAAGTGAGCTATGGATCTCTGCAATAATGGTGTAGTGATGAAGCTGATTAATGTAAGATGTTATTTTGGCATATATTAGCGTAACATTTGATGCTAAGGGAATAAATTTTCAGTGAACTCAGATTCACCTGTGGCTGGTTTTATATATTGAGGTACATTAATCACACTGCATTCGTTCCCATTCATAGCTCTATTGAAATAACAGATGAAACTTGGAAAATTTTTAAGAATACCCAGTTACACAAAAAATGGAAACAATAGACCAATTTATTTATAGAGTTAAGTTACTACTGAATCTACCTTGTGATTAATCAGCAAAGCAAGCAACTAACCTCCTACTATACATCTAATCGCCACCAATTTATCGAAAATCCATCTAACCAGAAAGCCAATGGTCCAAAACATTAGCAAAGCAAGATATCAGACAAAGTGGGAAACTGTACATGGATCAATGTTAAATCTCCCCAAACGTTATCAGAACATCATCGCCAATGGAGCAACTAAAACAGAAAAGGAAAGCGTTGAAAAATTCATTCAAGCCGATTTGAATTCAAACAATATGATATTCTTTAGGTGGTGAACACTTAGATACTTGGAAGAGACTTAGCCCGAATGAACTGCTTCAGAATAGCTTTCTCTTCATCAAGTTTCCGCTTCTCTTCAGGATCTTTTGGTTTGACCTTCCTTTTCTCTTCTAAAATCCACTTGAATAGTTCACGCTGCTGATTCTCTGGAATTGGCTGTCGTTTGATCACTTGCTCTGTCATGGGAAGAGGAGACACGGATGTCTGCACAACATGGGTTGCAGTATCTTTCGTTGAAACAGAAGTGGCATGTTGTTCCTCCTCTACAGGTATATCTTTCTTCTTCGTCCTCATAAACAAATAAGCTAGAGGTGAAAAAACTATCAGTCTAACATCAAACAAACAAATCAATATAGTTCAAATAGGTCACTCAATACAAAATAAGCAGACTGACATAGGGATATAAAAAGCAAGTCTAAAAGAGACTAATATACCAAACGGCAACATGCTAGCCGGCACAGTTATCACTTCATCAAAAGCTACTTAATATCCTCTCATTAGAATGTATAAAAGAAAAAAGGAGACAAATAACTGTAGCCTAGTATATTCAATTTTGTGGAAACTTAGTATTTAGCTATATCATCAATGTAAAGTATAAAATTTGTAACAAGCCACGCTATTTATAAATCAAAAACAGTATGGCACCGATTTCATGAAATGCACGGGAAAATATGTCAAGTTAGAAAGTAAAGCATTTAAGAGAATTGTCGAATAATTTTGCTAAACAAGTTGATGAGCTGTAAGGTTAGGTATGATATTTGAAGCAATGTTTAAACTTTACATAAAATCCATCAGACTATGTAGACCCAAAAAATTGTTAAATGTAATGACCAAATTTGTAAAACTATATACTGTTGTTAGTCCTGGTTCCGCAAAAAGTTAAAAAAATTGGGCAGCTGTAGTATACAAAATCATGCAAGAAGTCCGTCTTGACTAGGCTTTTAATCTTGGAATTTACTTCTGTAGCATTTATAACCGCATATGTGAAGGCGAAAATTGATTGCAATTTGGTTCTTTTGCGGAGTTTAGAAACAGATAAACCATTTACTCACTTCCATAAGATTTGTAGCAAGTACTGTGAAATAATATTTGAAAGACATATATCCTGTGCCTGATACATCAAAATTTATTTCATTAGCTGGTCGCACTAGTATGTCTGATGCTTTTTTAACTATGATCTCACTCCTCAACAGTTAACCCTCATCTCAGAAGTGAATGTTTCTTGAAAAGCATAGGTATAGAAAGTGGTACATTAAAAGGGATAAAATGGAGTATAAAAAACAATGATATAATGTGATTAATCTTAAAAATATATATATATATATATATAGACCAGCTAAAAGTAAAGTCTCATAAGACGAAGCTAAAGCATATAAGCGACAGAACATGTTTAGCCTGGAGCAGTGATTGGGTTGATAAGTTGCTTCTTTTGTCATAAAGAAAGAAAGAAAGAAGAGAAAAAATTGAAGACGATAAAAGTTACTACCATGATAAAGCAGTTTACAAGGACACAGTTCAAATACATCCCATGCTTCTAACTTTTACTTACATGCAAGGTCAAAGTAGCCAAAGTGGAAAAATGGAAACACCAGTATCTCTCCCTTCTGCCCAGCACGCGCACACACACAAAACAAAAGATAATGCATGTTAAAATAAATTAGCAATTTACACGGGTGGTCATGCAACATTCTAGGACAATGGACAAAGAATCCCCCAATATGATAGCCTCAGTGAATTCATGCGCAGTTAAAACCTCAACAAAATGAAACTAACTAAAGATATTAAAAATATTTATACTTCCCATCTAAGCTTATATTGACATGTTATCTTTAGATCGCTAGGTCAGGCATCAATTACCGTCCCCAGAAATTGATTTGAAAGAATTGTAAGAAGAAGGAAGAAAAAGGTCTCCATTTGCTCGCCTCAACTAATATCTGAAGGTTAATTCTGGGGCTCTTTTAGCATGTATGAGAAGATATATCCGATATTACTAGACCAACTAATACCAAGTCCCAGTTTTAAATTTACCCTTCTGACTACTTCAGTGAAGTCGTAAATACGAAAGGCACTACCTAAGTTATGATGGAATTTTAACCACAAATAATTAGAAACAACAATAGGATGCATATGTAAAAGAAAAGAAAAGGAACATTAGAAACAAATTTCAAAATAAAGATTATTCAGGGGCAAAAAACTCATCTTTATCCGAGCAACAACCGATCACGCACACCCTAATATCAAAGCAAGCAATAATGAAATGATCAAGCATCTATAGCATAACATCTAGAAACCCCATTTCATTAACTTCCACATTACCATCAAAAAAACAACTAAAATCGTGGCAGACTCGAAAATAATTTTTTTCCCCCGGCTGAGCATTCGGGTGAAAGAAAATAACCTCCAATGGCGAGATTTACAGCCAAAATCATGGGCCAGACGAATTTGTAACGACGAGCAAACGATTCCTTGGGCGGCGGTGGCGGCTGGGTCCCCATCGCAGATGACGACGACGACGCAGTCGGCGAGGAGAACGCCTTCGCTTTTTGTTGCTCTCGGGCTTGCTTCAGCTGCTCTGTATTGAACAACAAGAGCAAATCAATGATCAGATACAAAAACCCCAAACACAACAACTTCAAGCGAAAATAAGAGAATCGAAAACGGCTTTCGCAAATTTTGGAGGCAAAAAGACAAAGGTGAGGAGCAAGACGGATTTGCTTGAGAAAGACAAAGGTGATGTGACCTTTTCGAGGTTTGTTGGTGTAGAGCTTTGGACCTTCCCCTCCTTCACTCATTTCGTTGATGTCTATAACACCTTTCCACCATGAACGACTGCTCCGTGATTCCGACGTCCAGTCTCAGAGTGCTTCAGGGACTAAATTTTCACTCCCTACCCTAAACTAACTGATTCTCGGAGTTGACGCCATGGCTAAACGTGATTTCTAGGGTAAAACTGGAGCAGGTTAAACGGGCGCCATGGCACGGTTGGTCAGTAAAAACGGGTTCAAACATTCGCCCCGCATTCCCCTGTTTTAGATAAACGCTTGTTGCGTCCAAGTATTTTCATAATTTTAAAGTAACATTCCGATCCTTGTTTATACTCCTCAGAAGAAATAAACGATCTTTACTATAAGTTACTTTGATAAAATATTAATTGATTTTTTTAATGTTTCTTATATTTAAAATTACTAATTATAAACGAATAGAATCTAAATATTAAAAAAATTCATTTAAATAAGGATAAAATCATTTTCAGATTTAATTAATAATTCAACTACTTTTCATTAGTTCTTATGAAAAGATTATTTAATATAATTAAATGTGAGACAATCAAATGAGAGACAAATTTTATAAAATATGTCATATTTTTATATGTTTATTGCATTTCTTAATTTACATGCAAGAATCTTAAAAGGCCTATTTAATGAAATTGATAGGTATCAAGATTAATTAGTATAAATATAGACATAATCAATATTAATATCATTTTAAATATTAATGCCAGTTATTATAAATTGTATATTAAATAAATAGTATTGATTTATTGGTGATATTGATATTACTATATTTACTATTTACTATATTAATATAAATAATATAAATTATTAATTTAATATCAATATAAACATGAAATCTACAACAAACTTGATGATTATAAGTTGTTAAACTCAATTATGAAGATGGTAATTGTTAGTTCAACATTTAGTTCGAAAGTTTAATGAAATGCACATATGCCACAGAATGATAGTAAGATATGGTAATCTAAGAACTAAACATCTAGGTTAATGAATCGAAAGTACAAATAAACAATAGCTCGGTAAACACTTTAATTATACACAAGTTAGATTCGAATATTGTCATGCATAAAAATAAATAACTACTCCAAAAACATCTTTTACATTGAAATCTCATACCTCAACAACTATACAGGGACTGGACAGCCTTGTACAGTCTTGTGTTAGTATATTTAACTTAGATTTGTGTTCTCCTCTGGCCGGGCAAAAAAAAAAAAACCCAAAAAAAGATTGATTAGTGTTCTTCAAAGCTTGACTCCTGGATTATTATGATATTATTACTGTCCACTGTCTTTAAAATTCAACGTTAGATGTAAGTACAGAATTTCTATGATGAAATATTATAAGTTTTAAATAACATTTTGTGACTAATCCTCTAATAAGATTCACAAATCGTTAGATGTAAGTACAGAATTTCTATGATGAAATATTAGAAGTTTTAAATAACATTTTGTGACTAATCCTCTAATAAGATTCACAAATCGGTTACATCGAATGCTCCTATGATTGTTTCATCCTCCAACTTGCATTTATTAATAGGGACGCAAACACATGCACATCCACAAAAATGTTAAAGTAACTTTCACAATTACGTGCTTTATACAAACAAATTGATTGATGAGAAATATGTCATTTGAGTTCACCTCTAAAGCTTTAGAAGGTTGGTGTTTGCGGATCGGAATACACGTGAAAGTGAAAGTAAACTATTCAATTTTTTTTTTTTTGGTGTCCTTTCATTTTCAGTTAGTCAGATTATCATGTCACGGTCTGAAGAACCAAGCTACGGAGGGCTTAAGATTCTCAACAACAATGGTATGAGCTATAAACAAATGTTTGGTGGTACAGAGAAATTTCCTCCCCAAGTTCTATAGACTCTTGAACCAAATAAACTTCGAAACAAGAAATTCTACCACTATTTCTTACAAGTTGATTCTATTTTGCAAATAGAAGAATAAAATACACATGTGCAAGACTGTGATAGCCCACAGAAAGTAAAGTCAGTTATAATACCAAAGCATTAATTTAAGTGTGTTACTCCATCAGTCAACTTGCTCCCCGCCTCCATCCATCATCTGAGCGGGCGACCACTGCCATAACCTCTCCCACGGAAACCTCCATAACCTGATTGATAGTGGTAGAGATGTAATGGAGGATATTAGAGACTCAGGTGAATAGAAATTTACTAACAGATAATCGCAAAACAGCAATCATGTTCTTAAATGGATTTAGTTATCAGAAATTGAGAAGAATTCGTTCGGGAAGCTACCATCAATAGGTGGTGGTGGGATTTAGTTTCAGCCAAATGATTCAGACCAAGAGAATTAGGCAACATGTCAATTTATTCATGCACACGACTATTACTTTCCCATAGTCTTACATGAAACAGAAAGAGGTGTTTACTAGATCAAGTGATTCATGATATTCCCATGATAGTTTTGCAATGAAAATTTGTAGTTCATATTAAATATATTATTCCAATGCCGTAAGTTGTTTAATGGAGTTGAACCTTACTATGATATGAGAATTATAGATCTAGATCCTGGTACACCAGGTGAGATGCGGATTTGTATTTAGACCTTGAACTAGACTACCATCAGAGACGGGTGAATATATCTGTATTAAGCTCATTATCCATCTCATTACCAATGGAGGAAAAAAATCAAATTGAAGAACTGCTCCTATTTGGGCCTAACAATACTTAAATTTGACCTGTTAATATTGAATATTAAATAGTTGGGGACAAAACTGTTCCGTCAAAATTAGCCAAGTTACATGCTAGAGGTGGGAAATGCATGTGGAACTGTATGCAGGAAGTCCCATATCGTCCGGCTATAACTTAGATGCGGCCATTGGCCAAAGAATTGAGAGGAGGAATCAGTACATGCATACAACAACAACAAGAACACACCTAATCCCACAAGGTGAGTCAGCTATCAGTACATGCATAGTTACAAGCAAAAAATGCAAGCTCAATCGTAATATATAAACGATGCAGTAAACTAACCTGAAGGTGGAGGAGGTGCTCCACGGGCCATAGCTGCCAATTCAGGACTCACTTTCTGTCCAGCTTCCTCAAGTATGGCAATAAGCTCCTTCGCAAATCTAGCATTCGCAGCAGTAAAGAATGTATATGCAGTTCCCTTTGCGCCAGCTCTCCCAGTCCGACCAATGCGATGAACATAGTCCTCAAGAGATCCCGGGAAGTCATAATTTATTACATACATCACATCCTTCACATCTGTCAAATGACCACCAGCAACCAATAATAAGGATCAAAATGCACAGGTATTGGTGTAAGATTAAAGTGACATTTTCAAGTGGCAGCTGCATAAATAGGCACAAAAGAGCAGAGACACAGACAACTATCAATGCAGAGAACATTAAATATTGTATCGCCTAATAGCAGGTCAAATTGTTCCGCACAGAAGACAGGATCGCATTGTTTTAACCATAATTCTTGAAGTGAATGGCCAGAAAAGTTGCCATTAACTTTTTAAAGCCTCAGTAGTAAACTAAAACCAGCTAATAACTGGCATCAGATTGATCATCAACATTAGAAACCAATTAAAATTTGTGAAATCAGACAATTTATATATGCAGAGATATGCCAATTATGAAGAAAAATGCCAAGATGAACTGTAAGTGTAAGCGGCATAAACCAAAAAAACTATAATAGTAAGTTGACATGCAACTATTTGTACAGGTACTAATAAGTCGCTTGCACAAGAGGAAATATGTATCATCTGAAAAGTAACCACTGCAAGGGTCATAATATGTCAACACAAGGACTCATGACTAATCCTTTAAAATGGCTTAGGGGAGAACAAGAAAAAACTAAAAAAGCAGTTATTTAAAATAAAAGATTAAAAAAAAGGCAGCTCAACATTAATTTATTAGATATTGATTTTATGCCTTCAGCAAAACTACTGACACGTTCCACAGCTGGAATCAAAGCACCAGTCCAAGATTAAGAAAGTTTGTAAAATGTTTGAGTAGCACGTGTCTTTGTACCTAAACCACGAGCTGCAACATCTGTTGCAGTCATAATAGGACTCTTTCCCGATCTGAACTCTGACAGCACCCAATCTCTTTCTGCTTGACTTTTATCTCCATGTATTGAAAGTGCTGGCCAACCATCCATGCGGAGCTGCCGAGTGATCTGATCACATCCTTTCTTAGTATCCATGAATATCAGTATTCGGCTGCCATCCATGATGTCCTCCAGCAACTTCACCAATCTGGGAAATAAAGAAAGTTAACTTTATCACATGGTTCCTTGATATACAACAACAACAACAAGCCTTTATCCCACTAGGTGGGGTCGGCTACATGAATTGTAAGACGCCATTGTACTCTATCATTTATCAAGCTTTTAAAAATATTATTAATTAAGAGATCGCGGTTCCATGATATAATGAGGAGATAAGAGAAATAACAATAAGATAGAACATAACCTACTTATCATATTTCTGTTTTTCAGAAACAATGTCAACATGTTGACGTATTGCATGGTTAGCTTTTAAATCTGGAGAGCCTATAATCACCTGCATAATGGTTATAGAGTCATTAATTTAATTTTCAATAAATTTGCTGCTTTCAGAAAATGCAATTTCATTTAACAACAAAATCACATGTCTTGCTTAATAGAGTAAAATCAAAACATAAGCAGTTCAACAAATGTGAGAACATCTTACTTTGTATGGGTTATAAAGGGACTGCCTGGCCAGCTGCTCAACCTCCCTTGGCCAGGTAGCACTCCAGCATAATGTTTGACGGTCTGGACGAATCTGCATAAATCAAAAACTAGAACACAATCAGATGCTCAGGAGTCAGGAGACAAACAGGTTCCAAACAGAAGCAGCAAAAAATTTGACTCACTGATTAACATGAACTGTTATGGGAACCAATAACCTCAAATCTGATGACGGATATCTTATTTTGAATGCTTTTCACTTGTAGCTTCTTTAATTATTTCTTATAAATTTCTTCTTTAATGACTAAAAAGTACTTACTACAAGCAAGGTACTTTCTGCTTTTCTTTTTTAACTTAATGATCACAAATTCCAAAAAATTGTCAATGAAGACAAACAAAGTCCATGTTTTGAAGTTGGAGTAAGAGCAAACACCATGATCCATTTTCCCTCTTCTCTCTCCCCCTCTCCATCTCTCATAAAGTCTATAGCATCTCTAATAT